GTCCCTTCCAACCCTGGCCATTCTGTGATTCTGTGAAAGAGAACTTCAAGCTCTGCTACATTTTGTCTGCTTTTCCAGCACACAGAGAAATCTGCAATCATTGAAGGCTTCATGTTGTTAAAAAAAATTACCTCCTCCTCTTAAGGCTGCCAAGGGAAAACCAGAGAATGATCCTTCTTTAAATTTCTAATTAGGAGCAACCAACACTAAATCGTTTGTCATATTCAGTAAAGAGCAGAGATCTCATCTGAATATCTGAACTGTTCGTGTATTGCTTTAACTGATCACCTTGGATTTATGAAGTTTGGCATTGGCTCAATGATGCAAATTTTATAACGTGTTTTTTACTCTTAACATTGTACACAAAATATTAATCATTACGTCTTTTCCTCTGGAAAAAATTTGGATAGTGGGTGTTTCATCTAGAAGGATTTCTACAAAAAATTACCCCAGCTAAATACGATGGAGTATGAAGGGGAAAAGTTATCTTAATAATACATCTGTAACTGCCTTTGTGGAGAGACAGAGATACAAATAACAAATAAAACTATGATATAAATACATTAAGAGATATTATTAAAACAAATATGCAGATAGAAATAAGAAAACTGATATAACTAACTCAGAACGTGCTCTGTTTAAATTTATTTCCATGGAGGATTTTGTTCAATTGTAATTTATCTTCCAGTCTGAAGATAATAAAAAATCCAATTCACTGTTGCTAGGGGCATTATTATTTTATCTTAATTTGAAGAAAGCTTATTCTAATGCATTAAAACTTTTCTTCAAGCAAGGGGAAGCAGAGGCTAGCTCTGTAATTAGAATTGTTATCCTACAACAGGCTCATGACACTACTCTAAAAAAAAAAAAAAAAGGAAAAAAAAATGAAATTTACTCTAAGACACTTACTCTTTCATTTCAGAGGAGTTTAAAATCTTGGCTTTACAGAAGAAAAGTAATATATTTTACAGTAATGTAGTACTCAATACTGGTCACAAGGCTGTAATTCGTTCAGTATTTCTCAGCTACCTGGTTAACATTAAAATCCAAAACAACCTCTGATTTTACTTAAAAACCAATCAGCCTTTTTGAATGTCATTTGCCTTTGATCAGATAAGAAGCTTGCAGAAGTAAAATTACTGTGATTACTCAAAAAGCTAATCTCTAGGGGGCTGATTTGCCACCAGCCCCTCCGCAGCCTGCAGCAACAGTTTCAGAAATTCATTTTTTCAGGTGGCTAATATTTCACTTGCTGTCAATTTCAATTCTTAGACCAATAAATCAAAACCACTTATTTCTTGAAATATTGAAAAGCAGGAAGCTAAAAGGGAATAGCTCATTTCTTGTGTAGAGAATGAATATTGGATTTGTGTAAGGTAGATAGACAGAGGACAAAACTGCTTGTGATCATGACAAACAAAGCTGGTCAGAAGGTGATATGCCAGGTCCTGAGAGTCCTTAACACACAGCACAAGCCACAGCATTTTGGACTACCCAGCTGCACAGTGAAATGTGGAGCAGCTCCTGCTGTGCATTCAGCAGCTTAATAACCTGTATCTGCAGGAGCTACTTAGTGGAAAAGCAATCAGCTCCAGGGGCCTTCTGCTGTTTGCCATGTCCATGCCTTCCTTTAGGTTGTAGGAGCATCATTTCACTGGAATAAATTCATCTGCTTTCCAGAAAATCTCTTGGAATGGTCTTATCTCCAGCACTTTTTATATTACTCTGCTCTGATCCAGATAGTTGGAGAAATGCCACCCACACAACTGTGAGCCAACTGGACCAACTGTGCATGGGAAATACTATTATCCATGGCTACACACGTATGATTAGCATAATGATGTGTGTCAAGTGTGATATAATTCAGCACAGGTGAAAATGTCTGCTCTGCATACTACACATATCCATTTATAGCGTCTTTTCTTTCAAACTTATCCAGCTCACATCTCTCATCTTAAATACACAGATTTGAATACACAGCACTTCTGACAGGATCAGCGGTCACCACAGATACATATCACTAAAAGTGGAAGAAAAGTCTGGCTCCAAGTGAAAGAGAGGAGAGTCAGAGCTCTGCAAGAGCTATGCCTGGGCAGACATCATTCTAGCTTGAGTGTCTACATAGAAGTGTCCTGTTTGTCATTTACAGCTTGTGACAGATGCAGGAAAGCTTACGAATGCTTCTGAATCCTGACTTGGTTTCATTCTTATTTCATCTGTTTGGATTCAGAATGTGTTATTCTAGAGGTAGAATCTTCTCTGGAAGCCTTATATTTTTCTTTTTCAGGATTGTGCTTACCTTAACATGTTTACCTGATAGTGGGTGCTCAGCTGATACTAAATGATCTGACATGTGCCAGGGCAGAAGCCATCTCTTATCATCTCAGTCTGAATTCCTGTATGTCAAACTAAGATCCAGAAAGTCCTGCAGCACGTTTGAGTATTGGAGGAAAGCATTATACATCTCCATACTATTCTTTGCTGTTTTCTACATGTTTTTCTGCATATTTCTGTGTTGTTTCTGTGTTTCTTGTGAGTCCCAAGATAGATGGGCCTCTATTCTGATGCAGTGTTGTTTCTCTTAGGTTGCTGTGGAACGTGAGTAGAAATAATATGCACACTCCTGAACCTCACTGTCGGCAGACAATATACAGTAGCATTTCATGCCAATAATGGAATGGAATAGGGTAACAGTTCTTCCCAGTTCTTATTTTTTAACTCTGTTTTAAATCCTAGATGATTCACAGTTGCACCAAAAGTTTACTTGGGAACATAGCGCAGGGCCACTATTCCCCCACTCTCAATTGCAAGAAACTAGAGTGCCTCAGCAGAAACACAAACTTGGAATGAAAATTCCATTCCATCAAGTATTATCAATTATGTACATGTGGAGAACATTCCACATTTATTCCTGGATTGCTCTAGTAGCACATTTATCTTGAGTACACTTTCAAACACAGTAATTATTTTCCCAGAAATGGCAATAGTTGTTGAAGTTAAAACAGAAGTCAGTCCTTATCCAGACTTCATCCTCAGCCTCACAGTCACATTAAAGAAATTACTTAGGACATTATAATTCTTATGATGAGAGTGACATCATATTCGTGTTACTGGCATATAATCATGTGATTCTAGACACCATGAGAAATCTTTAATTCTGGAGTAGATGCAGTATTTTATTTATAAATTTAAGTAGAATTTTCAATCAGTGCCTTTTTATTTCACTTATTTTTCCTTTTTTTATGGCACAAAAGGGAACCAGACAAAATCTACTCTTTACTGAAGTAGTAGCTGAAGAAAGAAGTTAACATTTCTCATTACATCTGCTCAAAGCTACAACTACTTCATTTAAAAATATCATTTAAAAATAAAGCAGTATCAAAAAAAGAAAAAGAAAAAAGAAAAAAGACCATTAAATATAACAATGCATTTAGTCTTTCTTTTTGCAATTGCTTCAGGCTCAGCAATGCACAACATTCAGACTAATTTGAATATAATTGAAGCTTTCTCTTTTCAGCGCTTGTGTGCTGAAATTCTGAGTCTCTGGAGGTGAGCAGATACCTTGTGCCAACCTCTTTATGATTCTGACATACTGAGAAGTAAGCTTAATGCAAATAAAATGGCTTTCACCTCCCAGCATTTGAAAGGCATACAGGAATGTAATCTAGAGACACTTGCTTCTCAGATCTGTGCTCAGAAAGAATAGAAAACATTTAAATTCATAACAAACTATTTGTGACAATCTTAAACAGTGTCTCATTTCAGAAAGTGCAGGCCTGAGTGCAAGGAAAACCATTTGTAACTGTCAATTAAAATAATCTACCATAGACTCTTCTGGACGTTTTTTCTGCAAAGCTACTCTTTTTTTTTTTTTCATTTCCTTATATATTTTATGGCTCAGAACAACTGAATCTGTAGCTAACATATATTACACAGCTCATGGGATAAAAAATGATGGAGGAGGAACTATCATCCTGGATCACCTCTCAGCCTTTCGTATTCATGTCTGATGTAAGCTAATATAACTTCACAACAAAATGAATTCTCAAACCAGTGTAAAGTGACTTCATATTAGAAATAGGGTATACATCATCCTCCATTTGGGAAATCTAAAACACTGTGTCTTAGCTGCATTCAGAAATGAAAACCAGTGAGTTTCTATCAGTTTACTTAGATTGGAAGAAAATAGAGTGATGGCAGATTATCCAAGGTAAGTAGAAACAGATGGAAAATCCTGCTTACCCGAGCACTGTGTACACTACACATTGGCTGGCTACACTCCTGGGTTTACAGGATTTAAATCAGACCAGAATTTGGCCCTCCTCGTATTCAACGTGCAGTTCTGGGAAAGTGTTCAAAAGAATTTAGCTGGTAATCATGAAGGCTCTGTCATTTTGCAAGATGTAAGTTGCAGGCTGAAAAAAATATATATTGTTAAGCAGCAAAATTGCAGTGTTATTTCTTGTTGAATTTGGAGTTATGCTAGAAGCTATAGAAAATATTCAGCTATAGTGCTGTGTATATTTACTGAATATGGAATATACCACTGGGACAGCAGCTCTTGATCCTGCAAAGTTATCTTCCATAGGTACTGAGCTACAGGCAGATACATCTAGTATCAAATATGTTTCAATGTCTTCTATTTTATTGCTTCTATGTAGTAAGCAATTTTGCTGACTGAATGTCTATATGGTTATTTTAAAATGTAGAAAACTAAAGAGTATTTTAAATGCAGTTTATCAACATTAAAGTGCGTAGTTATGGTTAAAACACTTCAGATACTTGTGCTGCAGTGACCCAAGCTCTGCTTGGACTCGAAGTCCTACAGCAAACAAAGAAAGTTTGGCCATGGAATTGTACTGCCACAGTGGAGAAATCGGTGTGTGCCTTTTGAGCAAATCATGAACTTGCCTTGAACATAACTACTTCTGAGAGCTATCCTAGAGCATGCTGCAACTGCTTCTCTGATCTGAAATCTCAGCTGTATTTCCTTCTTCCAGGTATTCCTTTCAAGATGAAGAAGACATGTTCATGGTGGTTGATCTCTTGCTTGGAGGAGACCTGAGGTACCATTTGCAGCAGAATGTTCACTTTAATGAAGGAACCGTCAAACTGTACATCTGTGAGCTGGCACTTTCCCTGGATTATTTGCAGAGATACCACATCATTCACAGGTGAGAGAATTTCATTTCAGGGATGGGTTGTTTTCTGTTTGCAAACCAAAGGAATTTTATCACGTATCAGATTACATCTAAATACATCACCTAACATCCTTCTGGCTGCTTTTAATTTCATTTTGATTCTCTGGATCCTCAGTTCTCCTGAACACAAAAAAGTTGTAAATTCAGGGCAACACCTTCACACAACAACGTGAGGGAAAGGTCAGAACATCAAGTGCTAGGAATTAGTGACTTTTTTTGCTTGCAGAATCTGCACTAGGTTGATGAGGGGTAGGAAAGGTGGAGAAATAAGAGAAATAGTAGAAATGAATTGGATCAGGAATAGGTGTTGTGTCCTTTTTGCATTTCTTGAATTACAACAACCTATTATTTTTATTTCTTAATGGAAGGCAATCATAATATTTATGTCAGAAAGTGTGTCATGTATTGAGGCCTGTTTGTTTTCTATCTGTTTACATGAGACAGTGGGGTAAATTCTTTTCTGTATTAGTGTAGCAACTGTGAAGTGTTGTTTGGCTCAAACCTCTATTTTATCCTTTTATGCTAAATTCAGGATATTTCTCCTTGGTTTGCACTGGCTTAAACAGAAAAATTGTTTTATTGCATTGCCAAAGCTGGATGTGAGATTCAGAGAGCAAGCGGAACTGAACTGTGCCATAGATCTTTTAGTGACAAGTACAAATTTCTTCAAATCTTTAATTGATATTCTTCATCCTATCTGCTCACCAGAGCTGCCTCATGATTTTGTAATAAAGTGATAATAAAAAGTGTGATCTGACTATTGAAGAGGGAGTGTCAGTACAAATTTCTCAAACCTGAGGTACAGTGGTAGATGTGTCCTCTGTAAACAAAACTGTACAAAACAAAATCCAAGAAAGCATTGCAACAATTTTTTTGCTTGAAATAAAAAGCATACAAATGTTGCAAGCATTATTGTGCATTTCTATGTATTCTGTATACAGGTTCCTTTACCACTGAATAATTTAAAAGTTAGGCTAGGAATTTCAGTTGACCTTTGTTTCTATGACTTGAAGAACGTTCTTGGTGAAAAACAAATTGATGAGCACTTTTCTCACCTTCATTTTAATGAGACAGTTTATGTAGATAGGCTTTCAAACATTAGGCAAAGAATTTGTAAATAAAACTTGTATTTTATTACAAGCCTGGGACTTAAATATGTTTCACAGAATGGTCTTTGAAAGTTGGTGGATGTCTTGAGGGAATGAAGGGTTAAATTTAAATCAATGTGTCTGTAGTTTTTTTCTTACATAACATGCATTGCCATGATTCAACTGAGGAATTGGGCAAGACTGTTCTGTTCTTTTCTGCATTAATTTATCATGGCTGGTAAACAATTTTACTGAATTTCCTGTTTTGCACTCATTGTAGTGCAGTGTAACATCACTGACTTTAAAACCAGCTGTTGATTTGCACCCAGGAAGGCAGGAGGAGTGGGGATCCTAGCTGGAACTGTTTGTGGGCATTTGGTGTCAATTTCCAAAGATGAGGTTTTGCTTTCACTTTATGTTGGCAATTTTTACAACATGAGACACATTAAAATAACTGGTTTATATGCTGTGGTGGTTCTCACTGGCTATTTTGTTAGGACTGTTTAGGATGTGAAGGATCTGACTCTCCCATCCCACTGTGCTACTGGGGAGAAACTGAGACCTGAATATGGCACTTGCACTTCACTGCTTTCTGCCCATACCACCCAACTATGGTATAAGGAGCATTTTGGCTCTCACCTTCCCACCATGTCCCAGAACACCTCAGATGATCCATGTATCAGTGAAGGAATTATTACCTCAGGAATATCCATCATGTGCCACTGTCCCCCTGGCTTCAGCTATGGCAGGTCTTCAGCTGCTACAGACCACTCCAACAGGACTGGCACCTCTGATTTCAGTTGGCTAAGGAGCTGAGCAAACAATATTGCCATATGGAAACATGTTGATGTTGCTTTACTGCTGCAAACACCCAAACTCAATCACAGATTAAACCAACGAGCTCGCTGGCATTTATGCTCAGTGGAAGCAGACCTCAGCGCTGTCAGTATGACAAAGTCCTTCTAGTCAGCGTTCAGGAGTTAACCTATGAAACTGTATTGGATCTTTCACTTTTAAATGAGCATGTTAGTAGCAAGAACAACAACAAAAAAAAAGCGAGTCACAGAGTCACTGAGAGAGCCCACTACTAAATTTTGTCTGTGCTACAAAGAGTGGTTGAATGATTCATCAGACTGGGTAGGTGGATTTTCAAATCATGACATTACAAAGAGCTGAATATATGATGTCTGAGTCAGGAACTAAACTTCTCAATATTTACAGATGTGTGTGAAATGTGTACAAGTTTCCATTACTATTGTATCCAGAAAAGTGACAGAAGGTATTTTTAAGGATTAGCCTGCAGCCCCAGGAATTTACTAGAAAAGGAGGTGAAAGTGAGGGAGACAGGAGCTATAAGGCACGTGTGAATGGATGTATGAGTGTCTAGGTAGGTGCTATGCCAGTTCCCTTGAGAGATAACATGCAATGCCTCTGCACTAGCTGAGGCAGTTTGTTACGTGTATTTTGAATGTGGCAATTATTTCAGGAATACAAGTATTGTTTCTGCAGAGATAACTTTAAACATTAATTGTGCAAAAGCCATTATTCTTCAGTTTTTTTCAATGAAAATTGCAAATTAATTGCATATTTGTATATAAATCCATATTTGCCAAGTAAAATCCTGCAAACATGATTTTATTTGTTATGTCACAAAAGAAAATGCTGCATTGCGTGTCTCTCTTGCAGCTTTGTTGTAAATATTTGCAGTTACATAGATGTTCAACCAGAATTATAAGCACTTTAAAAAAAGAATGTGATAAGTTTCAAGTTATGATCTGAAGATTACTCTGGCAAATTTTTCACTTAACACTAAATTAATATTGAGATATCTCTATTAGATACTGGTAAAACTACATCACAAACTTATATTTCTCACAGCTTTGCTAGAATGATGTTTTTTCCACGTTTTTAAAATTTAAAACAAATCATTAAAAACCTGGATGAACAGCGTTTCTTATGGACTTTTGGATCCAGTGCACACAGAATGGCTTCTGACAGTTCACGTAGTCTCACTTGCTCTCAGATGTTGGATCAAATCTGGCACTCTGCATGAGCTGACATCAAGTTTCAGGACTGCACATCTGAATGTATTCTTTCCCGTGCTGCCTGTATAATATCAGTGAATAATATATTGGACAGAAGTTTTCCCATCAAAGCCTGAATGAACTTATTTCAGACTTGAGTAACTCAGCCTCCTCCTTTCACAAATGTTTCTGTTCATAAATTTCAATAAAACCACCTGCTTCCTCACTGAAGTAGGCTGCACAATTTCATTCAGTTATTTCTTCCACCAGTGGCAGTTGTGTCTCCTAGGATGCTCTTGCAGCCAGAGCCTTAGCTCAGAGCAGCACAGCTCCTGCTGCCCAAGTAATGCACCCATACTGATCACATCAGGTTTTCTCTTTCCAAGTGGGCAAGTGTTAACTGCATTGCCCTTGCAACTCTACATCACTGCTTGTTTCCTTTAGTTTCATCTGATCAGAAAGGAAGCTGGCTGTAGCAAGTGTCTGGAAAGGAAATTGCAGTAACTTTACATCACCATTTTGACATACTGGATTCTATGTTTGATCTGCATACCCAGTTTGTTGGCTTTTTTTATTTCAGTAATTTTTTAAAAATGTAAAATAATTTGTGTGTGTATACATAACGTAAGTATACTACTAAATCTTAGGTTGAAACACAGAATTGGTTCACGTAGTTCAGGCAGAAAATAATGGAACATGGTGACAAATGGAGGATTATATGCCATTCTACCAAGCATCCTGCTGCAAAGTAAGGGAGTTTTGCTGCTAAAGGCGAGGCCAGATGTACTGTCCCGTGCAACACTACTAGGCTGTGTTGTAGTGTAGGAACTTCATGTTCATCACCAGTGTGTCCTTCAAGGTGTCCAGCAGTCTGGTGAAATAGGGTAATACATCCAAATGAATGATGAAAGCCTCTCTCTTTCATAGGGTAGTCTTTCATTCACAAGACTACTCTCCAGAAGTAAAACTCTAATTTTAAATGTTCCTTTCATAAAATGTCCATTTAGCATGTAAGAAGTAAATAAGCTTTCGAAATGATTTGAAAACAAAGACTTCTTGCTTTGTTGATTTTTGCAGATGTTACAGATAGAATGGTGTCAATCTGGGGCTTATCAGGACAAGTTTCTTACTAGGACATAGTTTCTTACAAATTTCGGTTCATATTTCTAATCACTTTTATTAAGAAGAGTAGGCAATAGATTCTGAAGTAGACAAACTGGAAAAAAAAACCAACAATCGTACTGTGACTATTATTCATACATACTCCCAAGGATCATGACGAGTCAAGAGGTCTGTTCACTGATTTTTGTTTCTTCTGTTTCCCCAAGTCTCTTCCATTTCTTTGTCTTATGTTCTTTAAACACGTGCAAGCCCACATTATTTTCAAGGACAAATTGCAGAAATTGCACGTGAAGTTATGTAAAGAGAAGCAAATTAGAAAGGATATCAAAACCAGCTAAAACAAGTGCTATGCAAATACAAAGCACAGAAAATCTGCTGAATGCTTATGAGCTAGCACTGATCAAAAAGAAAGACACTTACAAATTCTGTGCACAAAAGGTATTTGAATTTTAGTTGAGTCATTAACAAAAGAATTAGATATCACCAGATATGAATAAGCAAAGGACAAGCCTTTCAACTGTAGAATGGAGTTCTTTACCTATGAGAACAAATTACTGTTACAAGTTTGGCAAGAGTAAAAGAAAAATTACTGGATAGATGAGACAGTATAATGCAAACAAATGAAGTTGATCTGAAAACACAGTGAAATTTCAATATCCATAGACTGGATGACTAATGAAGAATGCCTGTATATAAAAGAGCTGAGATGTGTGGTGCCCCACCAAGTGATCCAGTCCTG